AATCAGCTGGGCCTTGGTTGCTTTCTGCACAGGCAAGCCCCTCTCTCTGCACAGCCCCACCAGCTCTGCCTTCAAGAGTCGGGCGTAGGCCATCTGCCCGCTGGGCCCCTCGGTGCAGACTCACCAGTCTAGTGCTGCAGCGCCCCACGATTCCCAGGAACCGCTTCGCTCTGTCTCCAGCACGCCTGGCTCCAGGGCTCTTGCTTCTACTGCGCCTTGTCGCTTGCCGCTGGAAGCTCCATCGAACTGGCTTGTGTGACGGCACGTTGGGGGTTCCCCGTCTCCTGCACCCCGAAATGGCACAAACAGACTGTACCAGCCAGTGGAATTGAGGGTGGTTTATTGCTCCTCCAGCACAGCGCAGCACAGATGTAATCTGGTCACAGGAACTGGGCTAGGATGCCTCAGGCCCCCTTGAGATGGGGGAGACTGGGCCCCTAAACTCCAGCTCCTCTCCCTAGGCTGTCTCATCCATGCCCTCCGACAGCCAGCCACCAACTCCCTAACTTCCAGCCCTGCCCCCCAGCCAAGGCAGCATCTACCTTCCTTTGTTCCTCTCCATGGGGGGTGTCTGGCCACTGGTTTGCATAGTGACTCATCCTGTTTTGCTGGGTCGTGGTACCCACAGCAGCCAGTGGGGGTTCCCCCAGAGCCAGCAGCATAGAAACCAGCCAGGTACCCCCACTACGTCACAACATGTGTCCAGAGGCGGCCCGTGAGCCTAGGCAGACTCGGTGGTCACCTAGGGCGCCGCCGGCCCGGACACCCGATGATGACGTCATGGTTACTGATGGCCGTGCAGGCGGGGGCACCGATCGCGCCTTCCGCCTGGGGTTGGGGGTTCCCCCAGAGCCAGCAGCATAGAAACCAGCCAGGTACCCCCACTACGTCACAACATGTGTCCAGAGGCGGCCCGTGAGCCTAGGCAGACTCGGTGGTCACCTAGGGCGCCGCCGGCCCGGACACCCGATGATGACGTCATGGTTACTGATGGCCGTGCAGGCGGGGGCACCGATCGCGCCTTCCGCCTGGGGTGCCAGCTGCCACAGCTGCCCATGGGGGGGGGTGTTTGCCCCCAAAGTTGATACAAAGGGGGCCATGTAAGGTGTCAAAGGAAAGCTTTCCTTCTACTGGTTCTGTATATGCTATTCATAGACTTGTATAGTATCCGGGTGTGGAATTATTAATATTTATTCTGTGTCAATACTGGAAACTTCTCTGTTTGTGGCTGAGCAATAGACAAGGAATGCTCGGCCCACAGACATGCTAATGAGGAAAGCTCCCAAGAACAATGGACCTCTGAAGGCCAAAGACAAACCTCGCCACTGACCATGTGACTGTCCCTAGCTTGGAAGAAGCCAGGGGAGGGGATATAAATAGGCCATGTGGCCGACTCCATTTTGTGCTCAGCTCACCTCTTCATCCCAGAGGCAAGAGTTCAGAAATCGAGGAGCTGGAAAGAACTGTGGACCCATCCTGACCTAGGATGTACACCGAAGACTTTTAAGGCATTAAAATCATTTGTGGAAAATCATGCCTGTCTAGACGTAGCCTTAGATGGTAGATCCTAAAGGATTGGCTCAGCGTGATTTGTGGGTAAGATCCAGAGGGTAAATTAATCGGGGATCTGTGGCTGGTTTCTTGGGACCGGACAGAACTTGTTCGGGGAAGGTGAGATTGGGTTCTAAGACCCCGCACCGGTGTGCTAGGCCCGGGGCCATCTGGGGCACGGATATAGCTGGGGCTACGTCTGGACTACATCCCTTTTCCGGAAAAGGATGTAAATTAGACTTATCCCAATTGCTAATGAAGCGGGGATTTAAATCTCCCGTGCTTCATTAGCATAAAAATGGCTGCCTCTTTTTTCGGCACGGAGCTTTGTTGGAGAAAAGCGGCAGTCTAGACGCTGATCTTTCGAAAAATAAAGCCTTTTCCGAAAGATCCCTTATCCCTTATTTCATGTTACTAATTACAAGCTGTCCCGGGATAACAAGCTAGCAGAGAGGCAGTAGAATTTGTTCATAAGAAACACCATTTCCCCCAGCGTGGTAACTCAGTCCCAGCAGGGATGGTCCGATCACCCAGCAAAGCAAATAACGAACCTGAGCAGCTGGGCAGGGATGAGCACACTGTCCTCGGTGCGAATTCAGTGGATCTTAGAGGAAAATGCTACACAGACCACAGGAGGCCAGTCCTGATTCTGGGCTAAGCTGCATGATTTGTGAAGCCGGCTGTTTCTTTTGCATGGGGAGCTGCAGCCAGTTTTTACTGAAACCAGCTTTTAATCAGATCTACTGTTCCTTTCACATGTTTTTTGAATGCAGCCTTTGTTTCTTCAAGCCTCTTGTACAGACTCCGTTCGACTGGCAACAGGGGCTCCTTATTGGCAATCTTCATCATTATCTCTGCCATTTCCCTCACGTCCTTCAGTGATTTTATTCTTTCCTGGTAACCAGGCTTCAGTTCCTGTCGCTCCGACATGATCAGCAGGTCAATGTATTCCGGGGTGGACAGCGGGTTGGGTTTCAGAGCGATTTCCTGCAGACGTTGGAGGCTGCGAGATGATTTTTCAATAAGATCCATTAATGTCCCTTCCACTGCAGCGTATTCCTGAGACAACTTCTCAACCATGCTCTGTGTGGACAGCACCTCCCCAGACGCCTTCTCGTATTTCTCCTTCAGTTGTGCATAGGTCTGTTTCTCTTTCACTACTGTGTATTCCCACTTGTACGTTTGATTGAAATGAACATTCCAGACACATTTCCCAGGGCACACCCGGCAATATCCCGTGTTCCTGTCCATAGCTGTGCACCAGCGCTTGCCAGCATCATTAGCGATTGCACAGGGATAGTGACACGTATAGTGACACCGCTGGCAGTTGGTTAGGTAGTTCCCTGTCCCAGAGATGTCTATTTTCACTGCCACTGTTTTCTCCACCTCATACTCAAAGTCTCTATTGGCCTCCATTTCATCCTTATGCTGCTCCAGAGCTTCCTGTGTCTTGCGCAGTTCTTCCAGCTTCATCAGGCCGGCTTTGATTTGGGGCTGCAGCCCTTCCACAGCCACCTCCAGCTCCTTCCGCTCCCTGAGAACCTCCTGCGTTAACGTCAGACTCCTGGTTTCCAATTTCAATAATGCCCCCAAAAATGTCTGCATGCTCATGGCTCCCATTCTCCAGAACATTTCATCAAAATTACAACTGCCCTCGTCAGCTGCAGCATTACAGGTGAAGAGGACGGAGTTATTGAATTTGAAATACACAGGGTTGCCCTGAGCATCCTTAGCACAAGGGACATCAGCTGTTTTAATGGCCTCTAGCACAGGGGGGGTCTGCCCATCGGCGAAGGTGACCAGGATTAGGATGTTGTCTTTTATGTCCTTCCCGAAAATGGAGAGCACTGAGTCAAACACGTACTTCTGGGCGTGGGTCAGACGAGCTAGGGAGGCCTGAACCACAAAGCAGACGGCGTCGATGTGATCAATGGCCCCTGGGGTGGAGAAGAACTCTCGGACTTTCCTTATTATCTCTTTGTCATGATCTATCCCTCTGGTGTCACCAAATCCCGGCATGTCTATTATAGTCAGCGAGTACGGGACTTGGAAACCCCTTGTGTGATTCACTTCATAGGCCGTCACCTCAGATGTCTGGCTCTGGGCCTGGCTTCTGTTAGTTATTTCATGGATGAGCTTGAACCTGAATTCATCCTTCCATTGCACACCCAGGACGTAGTTGATCATCCCGTTGATGAGAGTCGTTTTCCCCGACCCGGTGGCTCCCATCACCATAATCACTTTGTTAGGGATCTTCAGGGTCTCCCTCCCCAGCCTGTACTTTGTGTAAGATGCAGTAGGACCTAGTCCTGTCTTCTCTAAAGGAAGGATATAAACTGCGGGGGGGCCTCGTGCTAGCAAAGACTCTTGTTTCACAAAACGTTGCGTTATTGTCTGAGATTCTGTGGGTGATGTTGTGGGTTGCTCTTCTCTTGTCGCAGAGCTTTCCTTAGGGGAGTGAGGTGGCTGCTTCTTTGATTCTTTCCTCTTGGGTGTTAAAATCAGCGTCTCTTCACTGGGATCACTCTCAGCCCCGTCCGCGCACACGGCCGACACCCGGAATCTGTAGGGCATCCCAGGCCTCAGTCCATCAATGGTGCAGGACTCAGTTCTCTCTCCCGTCTTTCGCTCCAGCCACTTGGCTTCTCCAGCCTCCTCTCTGTATTGCACCTTGTACTCGCTTATACTGACTCCATCTCCAATGGCACATGGACTCTCCCAGCTCAGGGTGATGGCCGATAATTCCACAGTTGCTGCTGCAGGTTTCCCAGGGGGGCTGGTAGGAGGAAGCGTCTTCACCGTGTCGCTCACGTCGCTGCTCTCGCTGAGCCCTGGTTTGCTCACGGCCGCGTATCGGAACTGGTACTGGGTGTTTGGACGGAGCCCTGTGACTGTGAGTGTCTCTTGTGTGTTACTGACATTCACAGCCGCCCAGTTCTCCTGCCCCCCGCCCCTGCCATAGGCTGCCGGTTTCAGCGTGAGCTGCACACGGTCATGTCTGACTGCACCAATCAGGAGAGGAAGAGGCTTTGATGGAGGCTGGAAGTTGGTGCTGAGCAGTTCTCCATCCTCATACAGGTAAATGGAAGCGCCTGGATTGGCCTTGTCTGGAACAGAGACCACAATGAACCGCGTCTTCCCGTTAGATTTATTCACACGAGCAAAGTCTGAAACAGATTTTGCAGCTGTTCGGGCATTTTGGTTCCTCTTTTTGTCCTCAAACCACAGTTTGGGATTCTCACTGGCAGAACTGGCTGATTCGGGATCTTGGGCGTTCTTCATAAACTGGGTCTGAAGACAGAGCCTCAAATCAGAGAAATACGGTTCCTCTTCATGTAGCGAAGTGAACACAAAGGCTACGACAAAGCCATTCACGGGATCCAGAACTATTTCATCCAGTTTGTTCTGAGTGGACACCACTTCCACATCCTTTAGGAGAGAAAGATAGGAATTGACATACTTCATTTCTTGCTCCTTTCTATTTAGAAATTCGTTGAGTTTCTGAGTGTTGAACGGTGACTGGTTTTTGCATGACAGCATGTCCACCAAGGTCCTTTCTTCTTTCCCTCCTCCACGGATGGAGGGTAAGAGTCCTGCCAGCTCTTTCTGGAAAATCTGTCTGTGTTGCATGCACAGAACTTTGAATTGTTGGACTTTCCTCTGCATTTCAGGGAAGGTTCTGGCAATCGGGTTCTTCACCAAGTCGTTGCATTGCATGTCCAGTTCTGTCAGCTGTTCCAGGGCCATTTGAACATCGAAGATCAGCATTGTACTGATCTCACGCACCATCTGAGCAGCTTTGGAATCCAGCTTGGTCAGCGGGTACAGCCAGACTCTCACCGGTACGGCCTTCTCCCCGTTCTCACCCAGCCGCGCTGGGAGGGTGGAGTATATTTTCATGGCATTTTGGAAAGTAACTGGATTGTTCTCAAGAGCAAAATCACCATAGAACTTACAACTAAGTTGTTCAGCTTGTTTTTGTTCCTTGTCATCCATTTTGAGAGCTCCTTCCCCTTCGATGGAAACCTGGGGTATCTTTTTAATTATAACATGGAGTTTTCCCTTTACATCTTGTACATTCTCAGATGAAGAAACATCCTGATCGAAGACAAAAATCGCCTGCGCCCCGTACAGCACAGCCGTGACCACGTGGGTGGCCGTGCCTTGGTCAAACACATCAGGGTAAGAAATATTGTGGCGTCCTAAATGGTTCATAGTCAGCTGCTTAAACTGTGTCGTAGTTGAGTACTGGAGAGAAACGCGGGCTTGATGCTTTGATGTCTTGCTATCATTTAAATACTCTGCGGAGCCGCTCACTTCCACCAGGCCAGACAGGAAACTGGCCTTCAGCGAGGCTTTGACATTCAGGGCAGAGGCCTTGTCCTCAGTGGTGTCAGACGCAACAATCTGAAATTCAGTCTTGGACTGCGGCTTTGCATCTATATCATTTCGAAGCGTCTCCAGGTCCCATAAAGTGATGCCTAGAACAGGAGAGACGGACACATGGTCAGTGGCAGAGAGGGTAAGAGACCTTCCTGTTCTGTAACTGCCAGGTGTTTTCTAACATTCTAACATTGCAATAGGAGCTGAGTGTCCCTGAACAAAGAGTCGGATCTGGGAACAGGCTTCAGTCCTAGTGTCGGTGTGAGAATAAAAGCGATGAAAAGGACATTATTGCATTAGGTCACTACACCTAGAGCAGTTTCAACAGCTGATAATGAGATTGTTACATGCACCTGCACTTGTAAGAACGGCCAGGCTGGATCTGACCGAAGGTCCAACTAGCCCAGTGTCCCGTCTGCCGACACTGGCCAACACTGAGTATCTGTGAACAGAGTGAACATAACAGGGAGTCATCAAGTGATCCCTCTCCAGTCATCCGTTCCCAGTTTCTGACAAACAGAGGCGAAGGACACCATTTTGCTCATCCTGGCTAATAGCCATTGATGGACCTAACCTCCGTGAATGTATCTAGCTCTTTTTTGAATCTGATTAAAGTCCTGGTCTTCACAACATCCTCTAGCAAGGAGTTCCACAGGTTGCATCCCTTTAAAAATCTGGCCCCTCTAGCCCATGTGCAATGATCAGGCAGAACAACTGAGGGAGCTGAGGCAGGGATATTAGGTGCATTAGGAGGAGCATTGCCAGCAGATCCAGAGAAGTGATTATTCCCCTTTATTGGGCTCTGGTGAGGCCACATCTGGAGTATTGTGCCCAGTTCTGGGCCCCCACTACAGGAAGGATGTGGACGCATTGGAGAGGGTCCAGCGGAGGGCAATGAAATTGATTAGGGAGCTGAAGCACATGACCCATGAGGAGAGGCTGAGGGATAGACTTATTTAGTCTGCAGAAGAGAAGTATAAGGGGGTATTTGATAGCAACCTTCAGCTTCCTGAAAGGAGGTTCCAGAAAAAGAGGATGGAGAGAAGCTGTTTTCAGTAGTGATGGATGGCAGAACGAGGAGCAATGGTCTGAAGTTATAGTGGGGGACCAGGTCTAGGTTGGATATTAGGAAAAACTATTTTACTAGGAGGGTGGTGAAGTACTTGAATGGGTTACCTAGGGAGGTGGTGGAACCTTCATCCCTAGGAGTTTTTATGTCTTGGCTTGACAAAGCCCTGGCTGGGATGATTTAATTGGGATTGGTCCTGCTTTGGGCAGGAGGCTGGACTCGATGACCTCCTGAGGTCTCTTCCGTCCCTATGATTCTATGATAATACATATTCTGATTATCTCCCTACCCCAATACCTTATGAAATGGACTTATAAATACAAATATGCTTTGCTCAAAGATGCTTTGAACAAAGTAGTTCATCTTATCTATCAATATAATGTTACAATCCGCTGGATCTGTCTGTCATATTTGTGTGCATGTATCATTCTTGTATATAAAGTTAGGAATATAAGGTATGAGATTTTTTTATGTGAGCTATCAATGCTGTACCCCGAGTCCTTAACTGCTGTGTGATCAATTTAATGGCATGCGATCCACCTTGTTAGTCCTTTAACTCTAAGTAGTGTCTGGTCTTAGGAAGACATATGGCCATACCACTTGGAAGTGGGATACCAGTTTGACCAGGTAATTTTCCATGGAATGTGCGGATAGAGAACAAAAGATTCCTGCCCAGGGAGAATTTATAAAAACAATGGGAAACTATCTGTCCTGTTGTCTTCAGCTGGCCTGGGAATGGCCTGGCTCTGGCACACTAAGGCCACATCTACACTACAGTGAGGATCAAAGCTGCCGCTCTAGTGAAGACACGCTAATTCAAATTGAGAATCCCCTCGACCCCCTCCCCATCAGTCACCTTTGTGCCTTAGAGCAGAACTGGGAGCAAGAGAATTTCAAGCGGCCAGGAGGACGGGTCTGTCGGTGGCTACTGGCCTCAGTAGTGGGGGTCCAACCCCTGCTCCTGCACCCATTTGCCAGAAGCTGGGGGGGGGAGGGATCAGGAGTTGGGGTGTCTGACATGGGCAGTCTCAGAAGACTCAATACTGGGCCGGGGGAGCGTTATGAGGGGGGGAGGTTGAGACGTCATTGGCTGGTGGGCGGGGTTGCCTGGGGGCAGGCGCCCTGAGAAAAGGACTGGAGGAAATAGCCCCTCCCATGGGGGCAGTGGGTGGATCCATCTCATCGGGAACATGTGATGTTTTCAGTCTCTATGACCTGGACCCCTCGTTTTGGCCTCATCCCAGAGCCGGGGGGAGGGGCATTCTGAAATCTACTAACCCTGGGACCCCAAAAGAGTTAATCTGGCCTAAAGGAAGCCCTGAAGCTTGGTCCTCCCTGCCTCCTCGCCCCCGCTCCCCGCCGTGGGATGGGAGTACCAGGGAAGTGAGGTATCTCAGTTGGGGGCTGTATCAGTGGTGTGCCCCCCCCCCACTGATCTTCTGTAGATCAGCGGCATCGAACACAAAAAAGGTTCCTCCCCCGATCTAGTTTTCCAGAAGGAACATCTTCTTCGTCAACGGCTGTTTTATACGTAAGACGGGGGACACCAGGGCGCTTCCCCCCGGCCGTCCCTTAAGGCTCTTTTTGAATGGAAAGATTTTACAGGCTCTTCAGTTCGCCTTGGATGTCTTTGTTCACCGAAGACCGTGGAAATGGCAACAGACATCAACGTGCCGCCATTGCAAAGAAGCATGTGGACGTGTGTGAAATTCTCTTTTCTTCAGCTGTCTGGTTCAGTTTCTGATACTGGCTTTATGTGGCTTGTGTAGTGCCCTGTGTGGGGTGGGGGTTAGTTAACTACGTACGTTACGCTTCTTCTCTAACATCCTAACGACCCCCCGTTTTTATATTTTATAATCATTTGTTTTCCACTACAGGTCCTGACAACATCAGACAACGGACGGAGCCCTTACTCGGCCCACTTGGGCAGCAGAATGGCTCCTCTGATGAAGAGGATTCCTTGCTTCAGTGAAGTCCTCCTGCACAAATGAAACTGCAAGGCAGGTTGAAGGGTATGTAACCTGCTCAGCAGACACCAGTGATCTGCGGGGGTCCTTTCATACAGCCAGGGAGGTGGCCATCAGGCCCAACCCACCTCTGCGTGTCCCAGCTGCCTGCGGGAGACTCTTCCATGTTGCTGGACTCATATTTTGTCCGGGGAGAACAAGGCTGGACTCTGATCATTTTAAGAATCAACTGCTTGGAAGGCTGAACAAATGTTTTTGGAATGAATCATTTACAAGGCTAAAAATGCACGCTTGGGAACATGGACAAAATAAATACATTTCTGTAATCTGACTCCTGTATTTAATCTGGTCACTTTTCACCTTTGTAGCTGTAGGCGGTGACTACATTTAAATTCCAGATTTGAAATATAAATGTGTATATTTAACACACACACACACACACACACACACACACACACACAATAATGGTGCCCTATCATAACTCAGATAATTAACAATAGATTTCCATAACATAAGGCTACTTTTTACTTCTGGATACGTGAGTGCACTTAAGATGTGAGACTTTTGCACTTTTACTCAAGTAACTTTTGGATACTTTTTCCACCACTGCCCCTCCCTCCTTTCCCTCCGGAGCTCAGGGCTGCCCTGGGGTTACCTGGGATGAGGGAGTCCTTGCGGCAGTCGTACAGCATCCCCAGCTGGAAAGGGCGGCCCAGCGCCGGCATCGCAATCGTGTCTCCTGACGCAGGCATGGCAACGTCCAGACCCTTCCCTCAGTGTCGGCCTGCAAGAAATAACTCACGTCACACCCACGCCCTCCTGGGACAGGGTCCAATCCCTCCCCCTGGCTGTGGGCTCCACCCGTCTTTTCCTCCATGACTTTTCAAAGACAAGGGCCAAAGGCTCCTCAATGACGTTTGCCAACTCCCTCGGATGCATTAAGTCCGGACCCATGGGGGAGGAGTGGGATCGGTTTACAGCATACTTGAGCAAAGGGGAAAGGCGAGGGGAGGGGAGGGGGTGTGGGATTGAGTTACAGCCGGGAGTTTTGCTACAGCGAAGGGGAAAGGAGAGGGGGAGGGGATTGAGTCCTGGCCAGCTGACTAAAAAGCCCTGTGGCTGTACCGAGACCTCCTGATACTCCAGCACATCTGATAATCCAGCACCTCCTAGGTCCCAAAGGTGCCAGATTATCAGAAGTCTACTGTACACTGAATCCCCTTTGTCCACATGTTAGTTGACCCCCCTCAAAGAACTCTAGCAGATTAGTAAATCAGGATTCCCTTTACAGGAACCATGCTGACTTTACCCCCAACAAATTATGTTCTGCCTGTTCTCACATTCCCCCTTCCATTGCTAAAGGGGGTTTATCTAAATAATTCACTGGGGTGGTTGATCCCATTTGGGGAGTGCTATCCCAGGAGGCTGGGCCCTAAGATGCACTCTCCTTGGACCTGAAGAAGTTCGGTGTCTGTATTGCTTCTCAGGGGAGGAGAGGGGCAGGGATCTCAGCTTGGTGCCTTGGCTAGGGGGAGACCAGGGAGCTGGCCCAGCACAACTGAGCAGTGAGAAGCCCCAGAGGGCGGGAAGGGGGGTGGCAGCGGCCTTGGCAGCACCCCGGGAAGCCCCCCAAGGGGTGTCCTGTGACCTCTTATGTTCTTATGAGAAGCTGGATAATTTCCTGGAGGTTAGGTCCATACAAGGCTATTAGCCAGGGGATAGAAATGGTGTCCCTGGCCTCTGTTTGTCAGAGGCTGGAGAGGGATGGCAGGAGACAAATCGCTTGATCATTGTCT